GCTAAATATATGTACTTTATTTAGCTAGTGAAAGCAAATACTCTTGTTTTCCTCAATGTTTACAGCAGCTACAGTAATCTGATTATCAGAAGTGACACCTGACCACATGCAACAAAAGGGACCTAAAAGTTAACCTCAGAGGAACTGCACTGTTCGTTTCCTTTTCATCATCTAATGCCAATATGAGCAACACATGAATTCACTGGTTATCCTTCTATGTGTGACTTCTCTCTACAGAGGAAGTAATTGAAGTAATAGTCATAAATATACACCTGGCAAAGAAGGTTTTCGTAGATTCTTCATAGCTATATCTCTTACTGGAAGTAAACAGATAAGCACTTCTGAGGTGAAGGGTATATATAGCCCTTCATATAGTCAAGGTATGACACAGATGTTCTACTGAAACCTACAGTAAATTACTAAATCCTGAGCAGAGTTTTATACTGCTTTGAATGAGTGATAAAGGGTGAAAAAAGCCCAATCGTGTAAATCCCCATAACAACTGTCTTTGGAAAACTGAAAATCACTTACTTTGCAACACGTGAATATTTAACCTTATCTCTAGTCTCTTGTTCATTTGGATTGGCTTTTCCACGAATTTCTTCACCCTTTGGCTCTTCAAGAAACTCTTCATCATTTTTTTCTGCATTCTTTTCCCTAGTTGCATCTTTAGGGGGTATAGGCTTCAAACCATCAAGCTCTGTATCACAATGCCACACACAGAGAGCTGCATCCTGGCTAATTGTGTACAGCTAGAACACAAACACACAAATGTACGATTATCTCGTAATACTTATGTTTTGTACTCTGCTATCTTGTTATGAATATAGAGTTGCAGAAGGGTTAGGAAGTCTGCACTCTATCATTGGGATGACATATTACTTAGACCTCTAGAATTTGAGGTGCTTTAATCTGGAAAATTTACCTGTCCCAAGAAACTGGTGGTTTACTTTACCTGCCCTCAGAGAGATTTTGAAAAGACCAAAGGCAATTTGATTACCAGTTGGCATTACAGCTAATAATGTCTTTTTCATTTTTACAACTATAACTTTGGGGGGGGGGGGAGGAGCAATTTTAAATAACTTGCTCTCCTTCTGAAGTTTACTTCTTCGAATGTTCACAGAACTGTAGACTCCTGATCACAGCAGAGGAGTCGACATATTACGCATTTTCTAGATTCTGAGATACTATCAAAATAGTCAGTATCCTTACCTACAGATAAGATTCTGCTTCAACTATTTTAATATTAAAATTCAAGAATGTTGTGTGATCATACATACATCTAGACTGTTCTCTTCAAAAAAGCAGGCTACTATTACATCCTTGTGCCCTCCAAGCGAGTAGTAGATCAAGTTTGCCCATCGTTCTGCTCCAAACACCCACGTAGACATGTCCTTGCTCCCTACTGCAAAACACCTACAAAAGAAAAGGCAATATGAATTAGAACACTGGTTTGCAGAACTCTTCATTCAGTGGAGAATGTTCTGAATGGGAAGACAGCAGTCACCACTTTAAAAGTAATTTTACACACAGCAGAGTTGTAAACTGAGGTTAGAAACTCTAGCAAAGGTAGATGGGATTAAATACATTCAAAAGGTCAACCATACTCACACTCCTATGTTCCTTTTATTGATAAATAGGCATTTTCAAGCACGAATGTATTGTTGGTTCCTAATAGCTGCATATTTTATACTTCCTAGTCTGCCAATATATTTTTTTAATTCAAGATAGAATTAGAAACAGAAGAAACAAAAAGAATTTTTAAAGTTAGTACAATACTTTAGAGCAAAGAAAATGGACTGTAACATACATACAAGTATTAACAATGTAAGCACGTAGACAGTGCTTTAGTTTAACAACCCACTTGGAATCGTCAGTCCAGTCAATACAGGTTGTTTCATCATATGGGCCGTAGTAAGTTTTGTCCAGAACAAAGGCATTAAATTCTCGTTTCTTCCCAGGAGCATGGTACATTAGAGCAACATTGTCTTTTGTAATCACAAATTTCCTGTCATGTGGGGGAAAAAAAGAAGTGTAATTGCACACAAAGCTGTTAAAGCAATTGTTCAGTACAGACTGCGATACAACACAACAAACCACCTTAAAAACGTTTCTGCATTACTGAGTGATAAATATATAAAATTACTTTTGAACTAAAAACAGAAAATTATTTGCAGATTGATATTATTCCCCAACTTCATGAATGCAGGTATACTTTACACATTACAAGACAGAAAACCTTCAGTAAAAATCACTTAAATTTAATAACGAAGTATTTATTCGCCAATTCTCACAAAAGGAGGAGAATTTCAAACATTCAAAAGAGGATATTCTATTTCGACTCTCTTCACTTCCATATATTGGCCATTTTCACAGACACAAAGCGTCTGCATCCCTGCTACATATATTCTATAACCTGGTCCTGTTGCCACTATAATGCTGTAACACAGAACTGTGACTCCAACTTTCAAGCAAAAACTCATTCAGGATCACTTTAAGTCAATCCAACTGAGGAATAACACCAAAAAGGGAACTCCGCACTTTTTTTCCTGTCACCCTTCTGATACCTCTAACTTTACATCACCACACTGGCTCAGCAACCGTGCAGTTAAGGGAGGCAAAAAGAGGCACTCAACTCAGAGAACTGCCTCTTCCAGCAGCACAGTTGTCTTAGACTAACCCAAGTCATCCCCAGACTGGTCAGAATGCCTTAATAATTACAAGTTTATGGGGTAATTTCTACTGTTTTATTCTAAAGCATGCACATTTTACTTACTTGCCATCCGGGGAAAAGCTGACACTGTGAACTGGCTTGTGAAAATAAAAGTGATGTATCACACATTTACCGATCAAACTGACAAGCAAGGCAGCTCCCTCTGTAAGGACAGAAAAAGAAGGATCATGGAAATAATCCAGTTCCCAAAGAAGCCATAACCCTACCAAGCTTAGTTTCTTGCCGTAAAGAGAAGGAAAAAAAAAAACCCAAACCAGTACCTCCCCAGAAACTTTTTAAGACAGTGTGCTTAATATTAAGAAAAATACAATCAAAATTACAAGTCATTTTCTGTGAATAAGCTCTTTTTAAGCTCTGTGAACAGACACCTTCCCCTGAAATTGTAACATAATTTTCAAAGCAGAGCACTTCTAATTTGTCCTAAGGTTGAATACCTAGCAATACAGACCTTCCTCTTGAGACTGTATTTTTACCTCATTCTTTTAAAAAACAATTATCTCTTTTATGAAAAGTACCTTCATCAATTAATATGGCAAGACTTCCATCTGGAGAGAGCCCCACACACACAATATTTAACCGTGTAGCCAATGGGAACGTCTCGCACTTATTACTGCAAGAAAAAGATAAAACAGTAAATTGGATAGAAGGATGTAGAAATAACAGTCATCTTCGGTATCAATTAAATATGATTTGATACCTATGTTAAAGCCATGGAACCAACTTAAGATGCAAAACCCCCACGACTTTCTTTAGCAGCCACAATCCCAGAAACACCAACTACGTAAGGGGTGGGCTCCCGACCAGAATACTGGTAGAACGAGTATCAATCACAACTCTGGGCTATAGGAAAGGGCAGATGACGGTCTAGGCTTTGCATTATATGAGAGACAGTACAAGACAGAAGCACACAAAGAAACCATACAAGTAAATCAAATGCAAACCATTTATTCCCCTCTTTATTTCTAAACCACATCTGTACATCACACTACTTATGCTACTCTCCCCACAGACCTACATACAAGAAATCTGCACCCTGCAACCCCTTGGGAGTTATTCCACTAGGCAGGCTTTTCTACCTTTTAACACTAAGACAGAAACTTTTCAGTACGCTTTGGGAAGGCAAACCATTCTTGAGAACCCCAGCCCACGCCCCAACCCTGCAGCCCCACACCCTGCTCGTCCTTTCGCGTAGGCCTGCGGGAGGCGGCGGTGCAGGGAGCATCGTTCTCTCCCCCCACCCCTCTCGCTACGGACAACGCGGACCTGGCTGCTGCCGTGCTGCCCGCGGGGCGGGGTCTAAAACCTCCTACGAGCTTTACTTCCCT